GCCCGGCGAGCGGCTGAGGCGGGCAGCGCGCGGCGGAAGCCTCGCGAGAATCACGGGTCTCGCGAGCTCCCGGGCTGAGGAGAGCGACTCAGAGCGCATGCGCGGCCCGGCGGGGGTGGCTCTTTTGGCGCCAAAAGGCAGCGGGCGGGTTGTGCCGAGCAGCTCAGGGTGCTGTGGTGGTTGGAGCCCGGCGAGGAATCGGGCCCAGGAATGGGGCTTGAAATAGTGTCTGCGGAGCCCTGGTGCGTTCCCCTGGGGAAAGGGCTCCCAGGACAGGTGCCACCCCAGGCTGTGCTCTATGCGGATGCCTGCTGGAGCTTTCTGGTAACTTAAATCTAGTCAGTTTGCAGCTTTCCAGAGTGTAATAAAGACACCAGGCCCTCTGAGGTTTGGCAGCCGTGTGCACGAAATGCCATTTAAGGACTTGGATTTGAAGCTGCAGGAACAAGAGGAGAGAGACTCCAGGCCTTGGTCTCCAGTGCTGTTGCATCTGGAACATTCTGGCTTTGTTTTTTTACAGGTCAGTCCGTAGAAGTGCGTCTCACTTATGGGCTCTTCATTTAAGCCAAATGTGATAAACTGTCAAATATGAATACATTAAATTATTTCCCCCCCCCTCCCCGTATTTCTCTATATACTTGTATTTGATGTGTAATTCTTGTAATTTAATGTATCTCTTCTAATATGACAGAGGAAATCAGTTGCAGCTACTTTCTAGTTTTAAAAAATATATCTACTCAAAATTATTTCAATGGTTAATGTTTAAAATGTCTATTTCCAAATGCAGCAGCATCTTTTATAGTCAAGAATGCATTAAATATAATCCATATGTTAATTGATTAGTTAGCATGGGATCAATTTATTTTCTCTTTTTAGATATAGATAATTTCTTTAATTGACTGAGGCACATGAAGTATGGAAACATATATATTTATAGTTCTGCTGCTTTACAGCTCAAAAAACTTTAAAGATTTGTGTCATAAAATTATTAAAATTAAAATTATTAAAATGTCTGTATGATGAGCTCCTTGCCTTGAAATTAATAGTAATTCTTTGTATGAAAAAATCTTTACATTTGGATGTAGCCTGAATATCTCATTCATAAATATCAGTGTGATACATCTTTCCCTTTAAATGTTTTCCTTATTATTGAATGCTTTTGTCTGTGAAGTAATTGCATTTAAATAGTTACTTAATGTCAGCTACACTTTCTAGAGAGCTCAAGCTTTCAAAATTCCCTTAAGTCCCTGTGTATTTTCTGGAAAAATCAACTTGTTAGTAAAAAAGAAATAGCATAGTAGGGTCCTCTGAGAGCAGAAGGTAGTAGGAATTTATGTGGCTGGCCAGTCTCCATATGCCCAGATCAGTGTTTGTAAGTCCTGTGGTGTTTTGTCTTTGTTAGAGCAGGTAGTTAACAGATAGGAAAAAAAAAAGTGCTGGAAAGGTATAAAAAGTACTGTGCTAAAGTTGAAGCAGAAGATCACAGAGGAGTAAAATGTTATAAAACCTACCATATTTATGCAATTGATTAATCGATATTTTTGAAGAGTGTTTAATTAGAAACTGGACTTGATGACCTAGGTGGTTCTTTCCAGTCCTGTGCTCCTAATTAAATGAAAAGCATATGATGGCAGGCATTGATTATTTGTTTTTTCCTCAGGAAATGAATAACCAGCCACATGCTGATAAAATAACAAGGCAGAAAAGCAAAACAAAAGAAAACCATAGCTTGCTTCTATTTTAGAAGACACTTCTGGTTTCTGGTTTAGGTGAAAGGGAGATACTGCTTATTTCTTTCTGTATTAAGTAGTGTCTTTGCATTCGAAAAACTGCAGAAAATCAACACCTTATTTTATATTTCAGTCTCAATTCCTGTTATGTTATGCATAATATACGGGGGGGGAAAATATCTATTAAATGGGTAGTTGGCTGCTTCAGCATTTGTAGGTTAATGTTACACATAATACATGGGGGTGAAAAAAATCTGTAAATGGTTAACTGGCTGCTTCTACATTTGAAGGTTTTAATTCCTATGGGAGTAATACTTGTTCTGCAAAACCTCTCTAAGTACTGTGTTGGCAAAGCTGTTCATGCAATAAACCCAAGGCAAAACTGATGCCATTGTAGCGTGTTAGTGGGAGATCACATCTTTAGGGACTTGGCAAATTTCAGCTATTAGCTAATCTAATCTAAATTTTAGATCATGCAGTCATCTTAAACATTAATTTATAAGCTTTTAGTATATTACTAAACAGGATTGTGTTCTGATCCACAGTGTTCTTTTAAGTCTCTGCTTCTTGAGGAAGGCAAGACATGTGAGAAAGCCTCTGATTTCTGGCCGTTTTAAAGCCAGTTTGTCTGTCAACCTTCTAATAATTTTTGATGCTGTCGGCCAATTTCAGTCAAATTGGAATCAGACATTTAAAATTCCACGGCTTGTAGGACTAATTATTTTCTTAAATTGCTCTATTAAACACTAAATAGATGAAGTATAAATGTTACAAATAAAATTCTGTGTGCAGATATTTTGGCAGGAAAATATATAGCTTTATGTGGCAATAGAGTTTTAGAGATGCAATTAATATATGTAGTAATTGTGACTTTATTTTCATGCAAGAATCTAGATAAAATGTGGGTTTCCATGAGGGATTAATTCAAATTCCTAAAACACATGCTTTGTTTTGGCTGGGGAAATATGCTTAATTTTCAGTTGCAATACACCAAAGTGAAACCTATTAGTTTTACAGAAGCTCAAACCAACCTCTAATGGTCTTGAAACTTCTCAAATGTGCTATATAATCAAGTAAAAGAAAACTGGTCATTCAGATCATCTGTGTGACAACCATTATAAAAAAATCACACAAAAAAAAACCTGAATAAGGTGTCTTAAGAGGCTTTGAGCAAAGCCCAGAGGCCACCCAGCTCCTGTGTCCCTTCGGGGTTCCAGGATTGTGCTGGAGGAACTCGGCAGTGGCAGCCGCAGTGACACGGAAATGATACCTGAGGAGGCATCAATCCATACGCCCGTGGCTTTATTTCTGTAATCAGTCAATTCAAAATACCTTTGTTCTCGTGCTTTATGTCAAAGGGACTTTAAAACAGATGAGTTGAGCTCAGGCATTTTTCAGGTTCCACCTGTTTGCGGTGCAAGTATGAAGTGCTCCAGAGGAGGGAGCTCTCTCTAAACAGCTGGGATTGGCTGGTGGGAACGTGTCTGAACGGCACAGCTGTGAACATTTAATTTGTTCTGCTTTAGAAATAGGTAAGATATTAGTAACAATGTAGAATCTTTGCATAATATACTGTGAGGTTTGCTCGTAATTTCAGTTTCTAAAAAGTGCATTAGTGACTACTTGGATTAAAAACATTCTTTTCCTCTGTCAGACCACAGACAATTTAAACATGGAATTCAGAAGGGTTCTTTATACAAAGTATTCTTTATACAAAGTATTGACAATGTCAGTGGGTTTTTTTATGGCATTTACTCTGCACTTTTACCGTCAGCTGAGTCAGTCGGTGTGATCCACACTTTTTTATTGCTGTATTAGAAAAATTCTGCATGCAGAAACCCCCATTTTCAGTGGCAATGTCCAGTCATTCATCTGTGTAGGCTTTTTTTTTTTTTTCTGGTGGAGAAAAGCAATGCTACAAAGCAATAAATAATTCAAATTCACAACTCACAACTGAAATAATCCTTGCAATAATCTTTTCAGAGAACAAGAGGCCGCCCTTTGCAACATAGTAGAATAACTGCAGTTGCATAACTCATGTGGGCAATTAC